ATTTCTAACTATAGCAAGAGTAGAAATCCTGTAAATTTCCACAGACCAGATATCAAAGGCAAAAGCTTACAATCAATTAGCATGCATTATCAGACCATTCTACATTGGACATCTCATTTTCAACCTTGCTTTCCTTTTTCCTTTCATTGAATTATACTGAGTGCAACTAAGAAACAAAAACAAACTACTCTGGGAATTGAAAAACTAACAACTACTAGAAATAAAACACTAATCTAAAACATGCCAGCAAATATAAGAAAGATAGAAAGTTGTTGCGCCTCTGCTTAATAGCTAGAGGGTAAGTGCAAGTGCACACTGTCACAAGTAATAATCTGGAAATATTCCAAGTTTGTCTCCACAGGGACTAGTTTTCTTTTAAAATTGATTTTGTCAACTGCTTGAATGAGCAATCGAGTTTGGAAATAAAAATTGGTGGAATTGTTGGGAACACGAAAAACACACGAAAATAATAGAATTTAAAAGGCCAACCCCATACTACTGTTTAGTTCTAAAATGATGAATTACACCTACCAAATGTGCCCGTAATTACACCCAATTTATGCAAACTGGTTCAACTCTTATTCCATACCGCTTTTGGTTTGTTTAGAAGTTTAGACTAGTGTTTACATATGTCTATGCAACTCTAGAATCTTAAATAAATTAAATGCCAACTTACGTTTAACGAGTAAGAGAGCCTATGTCTAGGATCTTGTTTTAGTTTTTATTTCTAAGTAACTTCTCGTTTTACCTTGATGAGATCCGTTTGACTCTAACCTTCTCAGAATTAAATTCAAACTAGTGTGATTTAAACAAGTGGCCAATAAGAAAATCAACTGGATAAATTGTATCAATCAAGATAAGCAAAGAGAGCGTAATACGCCGTGCTCACTGATAGATGTAATTTAAATAGATGAACTAAACTTGTAGGAGGGTTGAAGAAACAATTTACCTACTCATGGAATTGAAAGAAATTAAAACACAAGAGAAGATAACAAAAAAAGGCATTTTAATTAGAATTGGAAAGAAAGTACAAAATAGAACAAATTGAATTGCAATAAAATAAACAAGAGTAATTGTAGAAAAATAATTGAAAACAAAACTTAAATAAAAACTACAAAACTAAAGTAGAAAGGAAAACAAAAACATGGAAAATGAGATGCCATGAAGTGATGCTTGGAAACTCCTTTTATAGGCCATTGAGATAACAAGATGTTGAGAAATGCATGGGAGGTTGAAACCAAATGAGGTTGTAGAGATTTTAGGAACTAATAACAAATCTTGGACCAATTACTTGGTCAAAAGTTGTTATTCCAGTTTTGACAATTTAGGCATCGAATGTGGCTGAAGCATTGTGAAGTTGGAACTTTCAAAGTAACTTGGCTGGCTCATTCCTCCTGCAATGTGTCTGACGCATTTTGATCATCAATCTTCACTTTTCCTTACAAAATAAGCATATTTACACAAATTAGCTTTCATTTAGCTATAACTGAATTCCAAAGTCCCTAATCACAAATTATGCACATTTTCCCTAAATTATATGCTTAAACATACATTTTTCATCATAATTAACTCCCAACTAAGCATGTAAAACTACTCTTTTTAGCCTTTAATCAAGTCTTATCAAAAGTAAATTAGCATGGAAAATAAAATGTCAAGCAAGGGAAACCAACTCCTCTCAGTCAATCTTCTACTTCTTCATCGTTGGAGCCGCCCGTGGGCTGAGATGCTCCAGTATCGACAGTGTCCCCTACATGTTCATAGGCTATGGTAAGTTCTTCCTCCAAGCGATCCAACAAGGTCTCCTTTTGTATTTCCTTACTCAGCAAGTCATCTGCAAGTCTTAAGAGAGAACATTCTTCTACATCAGCAAGGAATTTAACAAAATTAAAAACAAAAAAGGTAACCTGTTGATCGTTTACTCTCATAGTTAACTGCCCATTATGCACATCTATTAGCATTCTACCGGTGGATAGAAAAGGCCTCTCCAAAATTATTGGGATCTTGTTGTTTACTTCATAATCGATGATGATAAAATCAGCTGGGAAAATGAACTTGTCCACCTGTACTAACACATCTTCGATCTTGCCCTCTAGGTGAGTGATTAACCAGTCAGCTAGTTGTAGTGTCACCATGGTGGGTCTTACTTCACCAGTACCCAACCTCTGATATACTGATAATGGCATAAGGTTTATGCTTACACCCAAATCGCATAGAGCATGGCTCACATTTTTTCCACCAATAGAGACCGGAATAGTGAAACTCCTTGGATCCCAGATTTTCTATGGAAGCTTGTCTCTTAAAATTACACTGCACTCCTTGGTTGAAGCTATGGTTTCAAACTCTCCGAACCTCCTTTTCTTAGTCAAGATATCCTTCAAAATTTTTGCATAGTTAGACATCTGCTCAAGAGCCTCAACTGAGGGTATATTGATGTGGAGTTGCTTCAACACATCCAAAAAATGCTTAAGTACTTGATCATCTTGGTTTTTCTTTTGAAGCCTTTGAGGATAGGGAGGAGGTCGTCTATATTTCCCTGGTGTTTCCACACTTTTCCGGTGCACTTGGTGCTTCTTTTTTCTTGGGCGGTAAGGGATTCGAGACCCGTATCGGGTCCACGCATCCACAAGGGTATGCCACGTGGTGATTCGGATTGACACTATAAAACAATAATCACAACAATGTTCATCAATGCAATAAATTGCCTTGTAAGTAATTAAATCAAACATGTAATAATATGCAAATGGAAAGAATATAGAGTTGGGAAGCAAATAGCATAGCAACACAACAGTCAGAGACAACATTAAATAGAATGAGAATTAAAGATGAAGGATCACGGAAGGAAGAATGGTACCAAAAAAACTCAAAGAATTAACACTATTTATCGAGAAACCCTTTTAAAGAAATAGAAATTATAGTAAATTAGTATTGAAATAACAAAAATCAAAGATGAAGTAACAAGAGGCTGTCATTCAATGATGTATGAAAAAAGGAAAAAGAATGTAGAAGTCCTAAAATTAGAAGAAGAAATGGAGAGAGAGCACACAAGAAAAAGTTGACAAAGGAAGGTAGAAAAATAAAATAAAATCATCACGAAATTTTTTATTTTTTATTTTCGTAAAATTAGGAGTGATAAAATCGAGCATTAAAAATCTATACAATATCGTAACCTTTTTTTTAAGATAAAAGCAATATATTAAAATTAAATTGATGTGGCTTTGAGAGGGATTCTACCTCAATAACAGCTTTTGTAACCTTTTTTTTTAAGCAAACAAAAAGTAATGTTATATATTGTTATAAATACATATTTGTTTCCTCATTTAGTGTGATGTCTGTAAATATAAAATGTTAGAGGGTCAAACTGTTGACAACCGACCTATCTCCAATTTTCACAAATTACCGACCTATCAGGTCGGCCTCAGAAACTTAGCCAGGAAAAGCCTAACACTCGAACCTGCTCAATGAGGTAGGGAATGGACCTGTCCTCAGCTGGGACCGGAGGTCGCTTGGGAGAGCCCAATCCGAGCACGACTATATTCAGATGGGACGTATATCTACCCCATTAACTGCTATAAATACACCATCCCTTTTGGTGCCTAGGTATGAAATGTGTCTGATACTGATCTGTTGAGCTCGGACTCTACTTTCCTCCTTGCAGGTATCCCAAAGAATCGCTTTGAGAGCTGCCGGCCGACCTCCCAAATCGTCATTCGTGCCTTAGCAGATCTTGCATCAACATAAAATATTAAAATAGATATGTAATAAATGTCCCGGTTATAAATGAAATAAAAATGTCAACTAAACATGGAATTGGTATAAGTATAATAAACGTCAATTGAAAAAATATAGAGATTTTTTAAACTCTTATCTATAATAAATGTCTCAATTAATTACCTTATATGAAATTAGTTTACTGCAAAACAAAAAAAACAAGCATAATAAAAGGGAGTGTAATTTGGTAAGAAAATAAATTCTCAATTAAATTAGGACTGCAAGATCCAAAAATTTCACAAATGGGGACATTTGTGAAATATAAAACAATTTACTGGCCAAAATTTCTACTCCATCATTTTATGGGCTGCGCATCGAAACTTTTAAAAATCACTAGGGTCAAATTAAAAACACAAAATTAAAATTTTTGTTGTAGGTGAAATTATCCCACCAAAGGTACACAAGCAACATGGGTTGAGCTACTCGGGTTAGATCACCCAACCAGGCCAAACTCGAGTCGATGGAACCTAGTCGGATGGGTCCACTTGAACCGACCTAAAGAGACTCCATCTATAAATAATAGAGACTTGGGACGTGGGGACCCTCTCACAATTTTACTTTTATTACTCTCTAGACCTTCCGCTAACTTATGCACCCTATTGTGTTTAACATCTCACAAGTAAGTACATCGACGTGCTTGTGACTCCTACCAAATTTTTAATTTAACTTTCAATTTACTATTTATTTAAGTATAGAATAAAAATTTTAACATTCAATTTTGACCGACTCCTAATAAATTTTTTTTAATATATAAAAATAAGCTAAAGATAACCTCTCTTATTTTTATTGTTTTATTATTTTTTTTAGCAAAAGTCATCTCTCAGTATTAACAAAATCAAAGATTTGCACGATTTGCACGAAGGACAATAGATTTCATTTCATTAAACAAGCCAATCTTCTCATTTCTTTAATAAAAAAACAAAAAGAACCACATCAATTAACAATTAAATAATGCTCAAGTAAACCCAAAAAAAGAAAAATAAACAAATAAACAAATAAAAGAAAAAGATGGATGAACAGTGGAAGAAGAAGACGACGAAGGAAGCCGTTGAAAAAACTAAACGAACGTGGACCGTCGATCAAAGGCGGCTGAGATGGGAGCCGTCCGATCCCCTGTCGGAAGCGCGTGAGCCCTTTCTCCCGCGCGAGGCTTCCATTCGCTTTCCTCGCATTTACTCCTCACTCCCATCTTTCCCCCTTTGACAATTCTCCTCCGTATAAATATTCATCCAAATCCTTCACTTCTTCTTCAAACTCTCGGTCTCCGTCTCCGTCTTCTTCTTCTTCTTCTGCATTCAATTTCTTCAGCGGAAGACAAGAATTCGTTTCCGGCGGCGGAGGAGGAGGCGGAGGAGGAGTTTTCGAGGTCGAACATGGCAGACGTCGGTCACAACAACGCCGCAGCCGATTTTCCGGCTGTTCCTACCCATGGAGGCCAATACGTGCAGTACAACATCTTCGGGAATCCGTTCGAGATCACCTCCAAATATCGCCCCCCAATTATGCCTATAGGTCGTGGCGCCTACGGCATCGTCTGGTATTTCCTTGCAATCCATCCTGGTCTTTATTTTTTTTTCTCTCTTTTGGAATCATTTTGGATTTAATTTTTATTGTTGTTTTTTTTTTCGTTTGATTGGTTGTAGTTCGGTTTTGAATTCGGAGACCAACGAGATGGTTGCGGTGAAGAAGATTGCCAACGCGTTTGATAATCATATGGATGCGAAGCGAACGCTCCGTGAGATTAAGCTTCTTCGGCATTTGGATCACGAAAATGTGAGAAATTCATCCCCGCAGATACTAAAACTGTTTGTTTCGATTGATTAATGAAATCTAGATTTCTTCCGTTCGTGTTTGGATTCAATTTTGTTTCCCTCTGATTATGGATTGTGTATTATCATCAACCTCGCATGGTGTCGTTGGATTGGAAAACATAGATCTATCAATTCTTTAGTCGAGAATAACTTGTGGCTGAACGAGCTCAATGATTTAGTATGATTATTGGTTCCATGGGGCAATAATGATAGGATACTACAAAAGTTCGTTTTGGTAGTTTTCAATTTAGATGTACAATCTGCTTATGTTATGGAACATGATATATTTGGTGATTTTGTTCATTCATAAGTAGATTGGAGTTTCTTATTTTGGAAATGGGGTTTCCCTTCTCTGTTATAAAATTTTAGGAGTACTTATCCTCACAAGTTGTTTAGATTGGCCCTATAATAATTGAAATTACAGCTGAAGTAAGCATGTATTCCAGTAATATTTTGTTGCTGATTGCAAATTTTTGGGATTTAAACTTTATTACACTATTTCGTACTGTATGATGATTTGGAACTAAAATTTTGTAGGTTATCTTGCTTTATTTAATATTTTCTGACTTTATTTTATAATACTGAAGGAAGTTTCTCACATCTCAGTTGTTGTTCTTTAGCGTGCGCTCTTATATAGATTGTCATTCATTGGATGCAGGTAATAGGCATAAGAGATGTGATTCCTCCACCTTTACGGAGAGAATTTAATGATGTCTACATTGCCACTGAACTAATGGATACGGATCTTCACCAAATAATCCGCTCCAACCAAGGTTTATCAGAAGAGCACTGTCAGGTATGATGCGTGCTTGACTTGGTCTTATGAGTTTGTTCATCATTCATTATCTAAATTGCACCTTTGCTTTTACTTAGCTTTTCCTCTAGTAATTTTAAGCGTTGGCATGCTTTGCAATTGCAGTATTTCCTTTATCAGATTCTCCGAGGATTGAAATACATTCATTCTGCAAATGTCATTCATCGAGACCTGAAACCGAGCAACTTATTGCTTAATGCCAACTGCGATCTTAAAATATGTGACTTTGGTCTTGCTCGTCCAACTGCGGAAAATGAATGCATGACAGAGTATGTTGTCACAAGATGGTATAGGGCACCTGAACTACTATTGAACTCTGATTACACAGCTGCCATAGATATATGGTCTGTTGGTTGCATCTTTCTGGAGCTTATGAATCGAAGGCCTTTATTTCCAGGCAGGGATCATGTGCATCAGATGCGTTTACTGACTGAGGTAAAAACAAACTACAGACAGCTTCTGCAATTTATTGAATTTAGATTATCTAATTTCGACTATTAAGGATCTAGCTGATGTGAAACAGTAGCTGAATATTATTGATTTCTGGACAATTATTACTATTAGTTTTTGTCTCGACACGTCGGTTCACTGTTGATTCTTCTTCTGGTAAAGATAAAAATACTTTGATGTGCTTCTTTTCTCCTAAGCATATTATCTTAACGTTTCCAAATTGTTAACTACGACAACATCTGTAGATACAGTTCCTTGGTTAAGTTTCAATTTGAAATATTGATTACAGCCAATTCAAGTTCTATTTTTCCACTAAAAAAAGCTCATGTTCTTTCCTTTTTCCTGAAATTGACTATGGTTTCTAAATTAGTAGACATGGAAAGCAACTTGATTGTAAGTCTGTAGCACCTTCTCATTTGTATCGTTTTAATTTTCAGCTTCTTGGCACACCATCCGAGTCGGATCTTGGTTTTATTCGGAATGAGGACTCGAGAAGATATCTTCGTCAGTTACCTCCACATCCTCGTCAGCCATTAGCGACAGTTTTTCCACATGTTCATCCTTTGGCGATTGATCTTGTGGATAAAATGTTGACGTTTAATCCAACAAATAGAATTACTGGTAAATATTTATCAGCTTCCCATTACTGTCTTCCGATGGTTTGGATGAATTAATTGCTTGTTAGATACAATGTTAATGATAATTTAGTGATTGGAATGTCCGGCTATGATACTTTAAATTATGACCCTTACATTTTCTTGCCACATTATTAGGTTCAAGGTGCAAACTTTCATACTTTTGCATTCGAAATAACTATCTACAGTTAGTCTAACGTTCAACCGGGGAAGTTGAAAACTCAGATTATCTTTAGAGGCCATGAGTTTAAACTGTATTATTAAGATGTAAAATAAAAAATTTTATTAGTTTTGATCCTAAATATTGTAAGATTGGTAGTTGTCATTCTAAATTAGTCGGGGTGTGCATGTGCTCTATAAAGAATGCATTCTCAGATTGGTTTCAAACAATTATAATTCAACAGTTGATGTTGAGATAATTATTGTTATTTCTTTTTTTTCGTATCATTCTTGATTCAACTTTGATGATAAATTTTGACTCTGAACAGTTGAAGCAGCATTAGCACATCCCTACCTAGAAAGATTGCACGACATAGCCGATGAGCCAGTTTGCCCAGAGCCATTCTCGTTCGAGTTTGAGCAACAATTCATTGACGAGGAGCAAATGAAGGAGATGATTTACAGAGAGGCAGTGGCACTCAATCCAGAATATGCATGACATGGGACGTCCACGCTCTAAGTCGTCTTCCCGAGCAACGACGACTTTGCAAATACTGAATAACATATGGCGAAAAAGGTCAGGACGGTGTACAAAACGATCGATACCCGGATCATATAAGCTTAGAATGCTGAATTGGCTAACTCAATGTGTTTCATTCATCTACAATATCACTCTCTATTCAGTCGCTTAAGAAAACTTTATTTTCTTCCACGGAAAAATTGTTAGTTTATTATTTTGCCCCACGTTTGGTCGTTTGAGTTGTGTTTTTTGTTTGTTTTCTTTGTATCATAAATGTTGAATATCTGTATTCTGTACAGCACAGCAGACTGAATTAAATGCAAACTCATTTAATGGAAGCTATCTTTTTGTGTATGTATGTCTCCAATTCTTGCATTATAGCTTTACTGTAACCCTTTTTGTCAGCATTTTAAGAACAGGGTGTGTTTGATTTTAGTTCCTATATTTTTGTACAAGTATTGATTTGCCTCCCATATTAATTGTTAAATGGAACTTGTAAGCAATAGTTGGTGTGACATTTCATTAAGCTGATGTAGGATATTGGTGTATAAAATTAGAATCATAAGATCATTAAATACGATTAAATATGATTAAATCTTTTTCAAGTCTTAAATGTGTTAGGATTGACAATTTGGACGCAAATATTTTACTTATAGGATAGACGTGTACTGCCTCAAGTTGGCAAAGTTTTTTGAGTTTAAAATATGTAGATATTTTAAAGTTTTGGGATAAAAAATGTTTTAAATTTAAAACGTTCAAAATTAAAATGAGATTTAAACCTTAGGTAGATAAATTATTGAATTTGATAATGTTTTATTTCATTTTAATCTCCTTACCAAAAAAATACGAATTAACCAAAGACAATGTAAGAAACTTTGATATACACCTATTTACAAGGTATGTTAAAAATAACAAAAAATGTTAAGACTTTTCATGGTTTTTCTTTTTAAATATAGGGGTGTAACTTGGTCGGTTCGGGTCGGTTTCCGTACAAAACCGACCTAACCCGAAAATAGTCGGTTTGTGTTCAGTTCGGGTCTATTTGGGTTGGTACTATTTTTTAATTTTTAATTTTTAATTTTTTTTAGCTTCTTCAACTAAAGCCTAGAACCTACCGACAAATCTTGAAACCAAAAAAATGGTTTTTTTAGTTTTTTAATCACCATTTTTAAAGCAAAAGTTTTTTAGGCCTTTGATGATGTTGGTGAAATTACGTATTTACTCTTATCTCACTTTTCCTTTTTTATCTCTTTTTTACTTTTCTCTCTCTTTCATTATTATTTCTGTTTCTCATTCTTCAACTTCTTCTCTCTCTATCTTTCTTCCTCGTACCCCTCCCCTCTCCCCCATTTTTTTCTCTAAATCTCTCATTTCTCTTCTTTCATTAATTTCTTATTTCTTCCTATCATATTTTACGAAAGAGAGAGTTGAGCGAGAGCGAGCTGAGCGAGAGAGAGCGTTGAGTGAGAGAGAGCGCTGAGCGAGAGCGAGTTGAGCGAGAGAGAGAGATCGATCTCTCTCGATCTCATCTCGGTCTCTCCCTCTCATCTGCTTGGTATTTCTCTCCACGTTTTGTTTTGTATTTTTTTTTTTTTGTAATTAGATTAAAATTTAAATTAGGAATGAAAGAGGGGAAAGCAAAATTGAGGAGTTAGATTTGAAATTCAATCATAATTAAATCATAATTAAAATTACATCGAGAGATTTAAGGAGATTGATGACAGATTTCTATCAAACAAATTTGAATACTTACCATTCCATACGAAACTTAAGAGAGATTGAGATTTCGTTTCTCTGATTCCAATTTTCAAATTTTTAATTAAGAAAATATTTAATGATTATTTGTTAATTATTTTGATTTTGAATTTGACTTTCAAAATTTATTTAGATCCGATGGATTTAACCTTGTTTATGATTTCATTTAAATTAACTAAATTTTATTATTATTACTACTATTATTTTGTAGATAAACGACATTTTATTTCAAAACATTTGAAATTATTCACCTTATAAGTTGTTTAATGATATTAAATTGATAAACATTATATTCAAAATTAATTGTTAGATACTATAAAAAACAATCTCACTAAAATTCCTATTTTTAGATACTATCAAATAAAAAATTTTAAATTCGCTCTCTCTCCCTCACTAGCTCGCTCTCTATCTACTTCCCCATCCCCATATCCATCGTAAGCCAGTCGATTGCTGAAGGTCACGAGAATCATGGAAGTTGTAAGGTTTAAGGGGTTTTAAAGTAAATTGCTTTCTGTGGTGAGTAAAGAAGAAAAGGAATAATAGTAATTAGAAAAAAAATTGATGGAAAGAGATGTGGTAAAATATGATAGGAAGAAGTCCGGGGGAGGCTTATTCTTCCAAATTTTCCAAAAGCTGACATCATCAAATACTTAGAAAAGTTTTATTTTGAAAAGGGTGATTAAAAAACTAAAAAGGCCGGAGGAGGCTTATTCTTCCAAATTTCCCAATTTTATATAGGTTGCAAACCCAAAAAGGAAAATCTTTTTCTCCTTCTCCATCTTCTTTGAAAATCCAACCGATATTTCAAATTTGAAAAACAAATTCTCTCATTTTTCTTTTTATCTTCCTTTTGAAAATCCAACCTATCTTGCAAACTCAAATATAAAAATTTGAAAAAGAAAATCTACTTCTTTTAAAATCCAGCAGAGCTTGCAAAAACCAAAAATGGAAAATTGAGGAAAAAAATTCATTATAAAAACCTACTAGGTCATAAGCGGAACTTACAAATCTATGCTTTATCATTAGTGTTTATTCATTATAGCGAAGTGAGTAGACTAATCAAGCCCGAAAGGGGTAGATGTATAGAACTTAATTATCGGATATAAAGATTAAATAATTTTATTGAGAGATAGCTTATTTGATGCTTGTAAAATTTTATGGGTAGAACTAGAGAGGTAAAAGTGACAAAAAGAAGATATAGAGATATGACATTGTTTAGAAACCAGTTCAAGGACCCTTGAGAGAGGTAAACCGTGGAGTTAGTTGCTCAAATTTACATAAGTCACCATAGTCGACAGCATGATACAACACTTGTCATAGTATATATGAGATTGGAGATTCATCTAGTTGAACCTTGCATTTCGCGAATTGATCCCGTTGAACCTTGCTTTTCTTTTTCTGTGTTAACAAAATCTTCTGTGTTTAAGTTTAGTTTTTAAGGTTATGAGAGCGCATCTGATTGAAGAATATTCTGGCACTTGTGATTGAAAATTTTCAGGAAATTATGCCTAACATATCAAGTTATATTTATTGGAATATATTTGCCCTAATTGTCATTAATTTATTGTTGGAAAAATTTACTTATGAATAATATTTTTCCCTGACGAGTTTTAACTCGTCAGTAAAAACTAAGTCACACACAATAATAAGAAAAATAGGGAAAGCACAGAAATGACACAAGCAATTTATATTGGTTCACCTCAACTATGGGCTACGTCTAGTCTTCTGCGACAACGAGTTCTACTATGAATTTGGGAGAAATGCAATGGACCTCACAAACGTTCTACAGAACACTCTCTAGATGTCAAATGACCACCTAGCTTCTAAGTACTACGACAATAGCTACTTAGGGATACAGAATGAAAAACCTCACTAACTTCAAGAGAACGGACTGCCGACGACGCTCTACAGACCGGACACAACCTCACAAACTACACAGTTTTGATGTTGCGGCCACACCAAGAAAACTTTAAGTAAATTATATATGTATATGTAGCGGCAGTAAACCTAATAAAAGGAAAAAAAAAAGGATTTTGGGCTTTGTGTTATTTGGCCCAATTATAACACTGATTTTCCCTTTGTTTTTTTTTCCTTTAGGAGTTTTGGCTCAACAAATTATCCCAACAATCTCCCACTTGGAGACAAAATAACAATCGCCTCCCACTGCAACAACAGTGTCCTTCAAGACTCAGTTATTACTCCACCAAAAGCTTCCAACTGAACAACGTCTTCTTGGAACCAACCAAGGCTCAACTCCCATTGCACCGACAATCTCTAACTTCTTCTTGGCACCAACCAAGGCTCCATCTTTGATTGCTCTGAGACTAAAGAATCCTACATGGTCTTGTCTCCCAGACGTTAGAAACACAGTCACGTGTTCCCAAGCAAACTAAGTGATCCCCGACGCTTCCTTGTTGACTCGCACCCAACGACTCCTGAAGAAAGATTTTCCATCTGATGACTTGGCACTTCCACTTAACTCCGTTGCCACTCTAGAGACACCACCATCAACCTCAGCACCAATTCTAGTCTTTCTCAATGCACCCTTTCGCCCATGCGACTTTGTCAGCTCACTTATCCGTCTGACAACTGGAGCTCGAAACTGACAGTCTGTTGAACACCTCACTGAGTGGTTCCCCTCTCCATTTCCTCTACTTCCTAACTGTTGTACTTGAATTGATGGCAGATTCTTCTGATATTTCTTGACTGTCAATGCTGTTAGTTCTTTCAAGCCTCCCTTGAACTATCTGCAGTCATGTGCATAATTCGTCTCTCTAATCCTCTGGTAACACCAAACCTCAACACATACACTGAAGCTTTTTTGTGGTCAACAACCACTACCTTGGATCCCCTCATGAGTTCTGTAGCCTTCGTTATCTAGCTTCCCTGTTGATATCAAATTCATCCTGCAACTGGGTACATACCTCACATAATGCAGTATTAACTCGGTCCCACTATCAGTCCTCAGACGAACATCCCCAAGTCTTTTGATTTTCAAGAGTCTCCCATTTCTCATCCTCACCACGCCATGATTTTCTGCGGACGTGAACCAACTTCTGTTTGAAGATACATGTACTGAAGCTGCACTGTCCACTACCCACTCTGATGACTGGTCTATAGGTGTTGTGTTACCTTCAATACAAGCTAACACCTCTGGTGACACGTAATTTAGAGTGTCCTCATTTTTCTGATCCTCTTTAAGCTTCCTGCAGTGTTTCTTGAAGTGACTCTTCTTATGGTAGTAAAAACATTCAACCTCGCCGCTCCCACTTCTTTGGATATGTCCCTACTGTTTCCCATATCTCATTTTCTCTTTGCCTTTACTATGCGCTATCAATGCTGAATCTAAATGGTTCTCACCACCAGAAGTGGATGCATAATTCTTTCCACTTCCTTTCCTGCGAATGTCCTCAACAATTGCAGCATGACAGATATCTGAAAATTTCAGACTCTTGTCCCCTAACGAATTCGACACCGTCGTCTTTATCGTTTTCCAACTATCATGCAAAGAAGACAGCAGCTTTATAGCCTTTACCTCCTCTGAGAAAGTGATCTCCATTGACTCCAACTGGTTCATCAATTGAGTGACCTAATTGATT